GTCTTTCAGCCCGGCCTCCCTCACAGGGCTGTTGTCGTGAGGATGAACTGGCAGGGAGGCCCTGGAGAGCCCCCTTGGGCTGCTTGCAAGCAAAGGAGCGAAAATGTCACATGTGCAATCATAAGAGCGGCGTAACGGCTGGGACTCTCGGGCCGAGTGTGCAAAGCCGGGGCCGTACCACCAAGCTAGACCCCCACTTGCGTGGAGGCAGGGCAGCAGAGGCGTCGGATCCAGGGGGCGGCCCGCTCGGTCAGGGGCGTGCCAGCCGGCGCCCGCCGGTGCCGGGAGATGCAGGGTGCAGCAGCCCCTTCTGCACAAGCAGAAGCCCCCATGCCCCCCGGGCTTGAGCTCTGAGGGGGCGACATTCCTGGCTGGGGACAGGCCTCCCCTCGCCGGCCGCAGCGCCTTTGGTCTGTTGGCTTGCTTCGCGGGCCTCTGCTGGAACACCACGTAATCCTCGGGAGCCGATCTGCGGAAGCCTGACCTCCAGATCCCTCCAGCTTGCCCACTTCTGGGAAACGAGGAACGGCCACAGCAAAAAGAACAGAACAGGGCAGCACCAGATCAGTTTCAGAGAAAAGGGCTGCCCTCAGGCCGTGGCCAGCGAAAGGAGAGGGGGCCGCGCGGGGGCAGCGTCGCAGGGCACTCTGACCCGTCTGGTTGCTGCAACTGGGCCGGAGCGAAGTGCAGCCGAGCGGCTCGAGAGAGGATGCCGGGGAGAAGGGCTGCCGGCCTCTTCCTCTCCCTCTTGAACTAGCGGCTGGAGGCACGGCCTCTCTGCACCATGGCGTGGGCCCCAGTCATAACCGGATTCCCAAGAACGCGGGTCTCCTCTGACACCCGGAGGAAGTGGGGGGTGCCCTCGGGAATTGCGTCCAGGCGATCCACAGGACCTCCTGCGCCACCTTGCTCAACGCGGAGGGTGCTGATCATCAGGCCGAGAAGCTGCCGGGCGGTTCCTGGGCAAGGTGCGCTGGTCCGCCCTCATTCCACGTGGGGCGGGCCACTCTCGGAGGGCGAGGAAGGCCAGGGGGCGGCTGGCTCCGTGGGCTGCTCAGGGTCCGTTGTGCAGAAAATAAGTGTGAGGCTGGCGGCACCCGTTCCCGGTGGGGCGACGGAGCGTGCCCAGCGGCAATTTACAAGGAAGGAGCCGTCCCAGCGGGTCTTAAGGGAGAGGCAGGAGGGCCCGCTGTTTATCTTCTAACTGCGTTCTGGCAACGGGGCCGCCTTGGCCCCAGAAGGAACTACGTGGCTGAGAGGGACCGCTTTCCCACGGGGTGTTCGGGGCACCCCAGATGCCCGGCTTCGGCTCACCCGCCGGGCACGTGGTCCAGGCAGGGCCCTCCGCGGCTTCCCCTGAGCCCGAGCCACCTTCACTCGCGGCTTGAGTTGCGCTGGAGGCGCTCCGGGATGCCCCCTTCCAAGAAATCACAGCCCAGGACCCCGAGTCTGGACTCCTTGCGGGGGCAGCCACTTGGCCAGTGAGGCCTTTCCCCCGATGACAGGCATCCCCCGATGAATCTCAGGAGCTCACTCGCTTTTTCAGAGCGGCGGCTCTCTTTGTTTGCGTTAAAATTCAGCTTTCCTTGCTCTGTAAAAACAGCCGTCCTCAAGCACAGGAGCACAGGCCGTCTCTGGATTTGATGGGGGCAACTTTCAGATGCATCAGAAATGTTTTAAGGGGCGACTCTGAGTCCCCGTTGCTTCGTAGGCCAGCCCTGCGTGGCACGGCAAGTCAGTTTAGGCTCGTGCCGACCCTTCGGAGGCAAGGCTAGCGGCCAGGGTGGGCGGAGGGGGTCCCATCCACACAACCCTTGGCAGCCGGGCAGAGCTCGGCTCCTCGGAACTGCCGTGCGGCTGGATCAGCACCGGAGGCGATCTCTGCGGAGGAGCCGGCCAAGAAGCCCTCCTGCCCTGCGCCACGCGTGGCAGCTGCGTTTCCACGGCACCGTCTGAGCGTGTTCTGCTGCCTGAGCTGTACTGACGGGGCTCGTACCCACAGATGGCCTGGGAAGGCCTTCGGAAAACTGCCGCCCAGTTGCAGGCTGGGAGGAGACCCACGCTCGGTCCGTACCGCTTGAAGCTGCAGTCCAAGAGGCTAGTCCCTAGCAAAAGCCTGAGTGTTGCAGGCCTCCACGTCTGAAGGGCACCTGCACCGGTCTATCATTGCCCAACCTGGGGCCCGCCCAGAGGCGTGGGAGTGCAACTCCCAGCATCCCCCAGCCAGGGGGGTGCAAGGTCAGAAGGCAGGCTGGGTCGAGCAGAACGGAGTGCAAGGGAGCCGGAAGGCTGTGGATCTTTGGCAGTTCTACCAGCGAGGCAGCAACCTGATTTCTGCTGAAATTAGTCAGTGCTTCTCAAGAAATTGCAGCGAACAGGAAAGAGAGAAAGAGAGTGGCGGCGACCTGCAGACTAAACAAGCAGATGTCTTCTGAGGAACTCCTACGGCTCAGTCGGGGTGGAGAAATTCCGCAGGAACCTGTCTCCCAGGTGCTCGGCGGACGCCGGCCCGAGGCCTCGCCTCTGGAATCAGCCGCCGCCGAGCTGGCAGTCCCCATGGAAATCCTGCCACGGGCGCCACACGCAGGTGGGAGTTTCGTGGCCTCCGTTCTGCAGAAGCAGCCGGCGGGGTGGCTCCCCACCAATAATCCGTCGTTTGGGAGGAAAGGAAGAGGCCGCACCGGAGGGGAAGTGCAGCAAGGATGGCGGGTGGGCGCCCCGCCGACCCGCCTGGGATGACACGGTTAGAAGGTGGCCCCAAACCCGCTGAGGCCTCTTCCAAGAGCCTGAGGCTGCCGGAGAAGGTCTGGGGGCAACGTCCCAGCGGGGGGAGGGCCGGGCCCAAGGTTCCCCCTGTGCCACAGGCTCGAATTCGACATTCCTATGAGAAGTAGCTACGCCTTGGAAGAAACTTTCATACCTCTCGGAACTGGGGGAGGGGAAAGGGGCAATGCCCAAGAGATGGAGAGCCAGGGCAGGGGCCCCGTCTCTCTCGTAAATTTCCCCAAAGCCATTCCCCAAAGGAAGAAAGCCGAAAGCAAAGAAACGTGGCTGCAGTTTTTAGAAAGCTGCATTTTCGGATATATTTGACTATATTCAAGAATTCAGCTTTCTAGAAACTATTATGTCACACCTGGTTTTGTTTTCCTTGCATTCATCTATCCGTTTCAGACGTGTCTGTTACACACGTGCACACACACACACACACAGTTCACACACACGCATGCGGGTACGTGTATAAAAGGGACATGGGCTATGGATGTGAGTGGCAATCGAATGTCTCTTACGTGCATCACCTGAATCGGGTAAATTCCAACGGATGCAGCATTCCGGCGTTTGGCACCGTGCGCCGCGCAGCGCATCCGATCCGTGGCCGTGCCTGGCTTTGTGCAGGGCCGGGGACGCTGCCGCAGGCACCCAGCCCAAGTCCACCCGCCCAGGCCTGGGGCTGCCCCCGGGCCCTGCGGCTTTCCAACGATGGTTTGCGCTCTGCACGCCACCGTCTGGCCTTTTGCCGGAAGCCCATCCTCTGTCCGCACCGGTGACTCCACCATTTGTCACGGGGACTGAGGTGGTCTCTCAGGGCACGGAGCAAACTGCCACGAGGCCTCTGAGAAGTGCCGAGCGTGCATGAGTTGTGGGGTGGCCACGGGGGGGGCAGCAACGTGTGCACCCGGTTCGGGCCACTGCTGGGCGGACCCGTTTGCAGGCCGGCAGGGGTTGGGGCGCGAGGCGCTGCTGCCCGGACGCCACCCAGAGAGCGATTCCCGCGCGCTCTTGGCAACAGCCCAGGCGCTTTGCACCGGCTCGGGGCTCTTTTGTCATGCGGCGGCGGCAGCAGGTGAGCTTTCGCGGGATCCGCCGCTGCAGTCGGCTCGAAGCGGCTGGGCGCACGTAGAGGGAGGGGGGCGGGGAAGAGCCCCTCTGAAACGGGATCCCCGCGCACAACGGATTTGCGCCGCCCGGCCTCCAGGCCGTGCACTGTCAGGGCATGCATGGGCTGGACCACAGGAGGGCGACGGGGGGGGGGGCCTGGAGGCACTGTGGACTACCCCTCCCATAATCCCCGAACGTCAGCCAGGCCTGGCAGTCCTGCCTCCCCCCGTCGGCCCCCCTCACCACAGCAGCATCCCCCACGGGGCTTGCGGCTTGATTCGGGGTTCTCCAGCAGGTGGCGGGGCCGCGGGGGCGGTGTGATCGCTCAGCTTGCGCAAACACAACAACAGCTGCTTGAACCTGCAAGCCACATCCTGGCCACTGCAGGCTTCTGTGGAAACGGGCCCCACAACACGCAGGCGCCGCACTTGGCACGGCAGCTCGTCCTGAGGCGACGTGCTGCCCCCGCTCGCCTGCCACTCCGTTTGCTCGGGGCCGCCCGGGGGGGGGGGGGCAGCACATGCACGGGAGGGCGGCTGCGTGGAGCTGGCCCCCACCTCACCCAGCGACCATCACCCCGTGGAAGCAGCCACGGACGCGCCACCCACGCCAGCGGCTCCCGTCCCCACCTGGCCACGAGACAGCCTGGGCCGCTTGGGCCAGCAGGGGCTCCTGGCCTGGCCCACCTGGTCAGGCTCTTGCGAAGAGGAAAGAGGAAGGGGGGCTCGCAACCCCCCCCGGCACAACAGCAGGGCAAGCACAGCAGCTGCCAGCCGCCCACCTCCCTGCGCCGCCCCCCCCCGCGGCTCTGTCAGGCAGAGGTGCGGCAACCGGGCAGGGGGAGGGGGCCACGGCCTCCCCCGTTTCTTTTGCCAGGACCAGAACGGGAGGCGGGGGGCGAGCAGCCTGCCACGCCAAGGAGGAAGGGCCGGCCCAGGGCCCGGGTCAGTGGCCCCGTCCTGGGATGGGGGCCCTCGGCAGGAACTCCACCGCACCACCCTCGGTGCTGGCCGGGGTCTCTGGACAGGTGGGCCACGGGGGGGGGGGGGGTGCCATCAGACCGAGGCCCACCGTGTGGCAGTCCTCTGACCAAAAGCCGTATCACTGAAGATGAGAGAAACTGCTTTGTTTTGTAAAAAAACTACCTTTTATAATAAGGTTTATTACCACCCTTTAAAAATAGATATAAAATAACAAAAACATTCTGCCCAGCAGAAAATGATCACAAGGCCTCCAAAAGCCTCTGCTTGTGCAAACAGTTTTTCAGTTGTGTAAACATCAGAAGTCAAGGGTTCAGATACAGTGGGATTGCTACAAAAGCAGCTGCCTGTAAGACTCCAGGGGCTGCGTGCCTTCGTGGGTACCTGCGAATTGCACCACCAACACAGACGCACTCCAAGTCTCTCTCTCCTGCAATCCGACGGTTGCCGCAGACGTGCCCGCTCTCTCCAATTCCCATCGTGCAGAGCCGGGCCTCTTGCTCCTGCCGTACATCCCGAGGCACGCGACCTGCGGGGCCGGCGTCTTCTCGGCACCCCCGCCCCCCGCTCTCCCAGTTGTGCAGGCGAACGCCACGCAGAACCATCACAACTTGAAGGGAAACGATTCCAGGTAATCCTTTAAAACCGGGTTGAGCGGGACGCGGCTCAAGTTCTCCTTCCCAAACGTCGCCACGATGCTTTTGCGGCAGAGCTCCTGCAAGGACCGCAAGCGCTCCTTGTGCAGCGGCCTGGCCAGGACCTTCCGCGGGGAGCGGACATAATGCTCCAGGAGCTGGAAGAGGCACCCAAAGGTCTCCTTGCTGCCGTCCAGGTGGAAGTGGCCCGCCTGGAAGACGACGCGGATGCTGGTGGGCCCCGTGGCCGTCCGCACGCTGATGGTGAAGAAGCAGTTCTTCTGGTGGCTGTCCCGGATGAGGAAGGTCCCCACGGCCTCATGCTTGAGCTTCTCGTGGGCAGCGTGGACGGACAGCGGTCCCCAGTAGAAGCCGGACTCCTCCAGCAAAGCAGTGGTGCGGTTGATGGTGCTGAAGTCCTCCGGGGAGCGGAAGGCGGGGAAGTGGGTGTGCCGGGCGGCGGGCACGGTGCTCGGGCGGCCAAGGCCCTGGGGGGCTCGGCGAGGCACGGCGTCCCGCGCGGCGGGCTCAAGCCGACATCTCAGCTCTGTCGCGATGCGATTCTCCGGCGTCACGGTGCTGTGTGCTACCATCCTACAGACTAGCCCCGCCGGTCTGGTCTCCCATAGCGCTGGGGGCCAAGGAAGGGCTGCGGGGCGGCCCGGGGCTCTCCTGAAGGCCAAGAAGAAAGCAGAAGCCGCGTGAGGTGAGCCACGAATAGGAACTCGGCGGAACCGCGGACTCGGCAGCCCAGCCCGCTCTGCAGGGCCATCGAGGCGCCCCCCCCTCCCCCCGGGCGTCAGGCAAGGCTTTCCCTGTCCTCCCTGGGGTGCCCAGCCTTCAACTCGGGGCCTCCCGCACCCCCTTCAAAATCAGAGGCGCTCGTGGGCTGAGCCCTGCCGGCAACTGAACCCCCGGCCAGGGGGCGCCCCGGCTCGCGCTCTTGCAGGAAGAACACGCAACACGCTCAGTCACAGTGCACGCGGGAGCGGTTTTACTTGTCTCCACCACAGAGGGGACTGGAAACCCACTGATGGGAATTGCTGATTCAGAAGCCACCCTTCCCATCAGCCTGAGGCGGGTTTCTTACTCGGTGCGAGACTTCAATTTCCAGGAGGCCAAAGAGCCACAGACACGCCGGCCACCCCCCCGCCCCGCCCCACCACGCCTCGTGGTCTTGGCTTGAGTGAGTCGGGCAAAGCAGGGCACTTCTGAGGAACCAGCGACGTCACGCTGAACGATTGCAAACCAGGCTGCGGAACGGCGTGTGCCTTTGTTAGCTCAGCCTCCCCTCAGGCTGGTGGTGCCTGCGCAGGACAGTGTTCCGGCAAGCCGAGCCGTGCCCCCATCTCCCCCCCCCCCGGGAAGCCCTTCTTTGCCGTTTGACTCCACCACAGTCCAAAGAAGAGGTTTTGCAAGCTGGGATCCAACCCCCCAGCAGACACAGCTGGCCAGGATGAGTTAGGTTCTTTGTATAGGGCAAGAAGCGTGCGGCTTCCAAGAGCGCCAAACGCCTGAGCAACCCCAGGTCCCCCTCCGGAGAAAGGCCCCCCTTCGCCCCTCCAGGCCCCCCGCCTCGCCAGCTCTTCGGGCTCTCCCCTAACTGTGCACACAAAAATCGGCCCGAGAAATCGGAAAGCCGGCTTCCACGCTTCATCTCCCGCTCCCACGCAAAGTGCTCCAGTTGAAATTGCTTCCTATAACAGATAAATCCTTCAGCACTGGGGGGGGGGGCTTCCCCGTGAAGCTGCTGGAAGCCCGGCAGCAGCCAGCCAGGAATGCCCTGCCGGCCGGCTCCACCGGCTCCCTTGCCTGCGCAGCCTGTGCGGCACAGAAAGATCGGTCCCCACGGCCCGGTGGTACACCTGTCCTGGCGTGCCGGAGAGGTTCTGTGGCACACTCTCAGGAAACCGTGCCGCCAGGCGTGGGGGGCTGCTGCCTGCAGCCAGAGGCACCCGCTCCGCCGGGGCGCGAGTCGGTGCCACTCAGCCGGCCCGCAAACCCACGTCAGCCCGTCCAGGCCGGAAAGCTGTGGCAGCGCCTGGCAGGGAGGTGGCCCGGCCGGGCCGGGGAGAGCGAGGGAGGCCGACCCGCTGCGCCCAAGCCGCGGAGGGGCAGCCTCCGTCCCGAGAAGGGCGGCGGGCAGGGCCGGCGCTCGGCCGCGCATCCAGGGGAGCACCGGTGACGCCAATCCCCTACGCGCGGACTGCCCGCCTGGCACCCGCGCCTGACCTTGAGCAGGGGCGCCCCAGCGCGGGGATCGCGGCGGGCGGGCGGGCGGGCGGCTGGCTCCCCGTGCCGGGAGAGGCGGCCGATGGGGCGGGCGCAGAGGCTTCCCACGCCGCCAATCCGGCAGGGGGGCGCCCGACGGGCAGCGGCCCAGGGGCCGGAGCGAGGGGTCTCCGCAGCCCGGGCGCGGGAGCAGCCGCTGCAGCCGCCAGCGGGGGGCTCCGGGGCTCGCGCCGCTGCTGCGGCCTCGCGCAAAGCCGCGGCGCCCCCTGCGAGCGGAGCTGCGCTCCAGGCGGCAGGAAAGTCCGCGCGCCCGCGCCGTGGCCGCCCGAGCGCCGAGCGCCGAGAGGGCGGGCGGGGAACGCCTCCTCTTTCCCAGGAAGGGCGTCCCAAGGCGCGGCGCAGGAGCCGCGGGGCGCCCGGGGGCCACGGCCCGCCTGCGCCGGCCTCGGGCAGGGCCCTGCGCGGCGTCGGCGGGCGGCCCGGGTCTCGGCCGGGGCGGCTCGGAGCGCCTTACCTCCCGGGCGCCTT